TCTGGGAAACGATTAGAGTCAAGCCTTCCTTCTCACCGTCTATTTTTAGTATCACGAATTAGGTCTCTCGCATAGTTTCGTACCGGCTTCTATCGTTCGGAATTTACGTATAATTACAAATTTTCTACGTGAAATGGCGAATCGTATATAATGCAAATAATTATCTTCCTTCGTAATATTATTTATTACTGTAGAAACAGTACAACTTCATCTACCTAACATTTATTTGTTATAATTTCATTAGGGATGATTCAACGATTGATTTATTAATATAACATTTGACACGGTAATGAGAGAACGATGTGTATCGATGCGAAATACATTTACGAGCTTTCTTAGGAAAAAGGTACCTGGGGAAAGTTCGGCTATGACATAACGAACAAAATTACTTCGTTAATTAATTTTTTTTTCAATGATAATTTCGAAACCATATTAAGCATATTACACAGACAAACAGAGAGGGAGAGAGAGAGCTTATGTATGGAAGTCTTTCGAGGGATACTTTATCGTTGGAAAGGAAAGTTTGGTTGTGGAAGGAAAGCTTTTCGATAGCCGTGAAACGATAATTCGCGAGTAAGAGAATCGTGGTTGAAATGGACTGCCTTGAGGTGATCGTCACGGAAGAGGGTCGACAACGTTCGCGTGCGTTTTCTTGAAGGTTAATATATTAGTTACGGGTGCGATAGTCCAACGACGATGCGACGACCACGACGACAGACAAACGTGTTAATAAATAACATTCTTGACAGATCGGCTTACGGAATAGTGAAATATCGTAAGTCGATGATTAAATGAACTTATGCCATGCTCGAATGCTTTTATACGAATGGTAGAAGTTAGTTCCTCTTTTAGAGCATTGACTTATTTATTAGATTGGCTTATCTTTTTCTCTCTCTCTCGTTATCTTTATCTATCGATTTTTCTTTTCGATTCTTTTTTTTTTTGAATTTTTAAATCTCTCTTTTATATTCCTTTTCGAAAGACAAGTTTTCATCTTACGGTCTCGAGGCCCGATTAACATTTCTTCAACTTTTTTTTCTTCGTTTAAATATTATTATTTTATCATTGTAAAAATCACACAAAATATCATTCGTCTTGTTGATTTATTATACAGTTTGTGTGTGTTTTTTTTTTATTTAATCAATTTATATCGTGCGATCGAACCATTTAAGGTAGTAACGCTTTTGGATTTTGACTTTCACGAACTGAAGACTTTTTATTCTCGATCAGGGAAAGTTAGTGCATGGTTTTCACAAGTTTGTTCGATCTTGGTCGGTAACTATGCAAAAACAAATGAAATAGACGATTTTGTGATTAAATTCATTAATTAATATATTTGATTAAAAGAAAATATGATAAGATAAATAAAGTTAAATTTAGGACTAACTACTCTCTTAAGTGTTTATTCAATTTGAGTATATATTTCTACGCGTATATTTGATATACCTATAAGAGATAAGACGAAGATGTAAATGAGAAAGTTATGGAAATGGTAAGCTGCGTGTCATAATGATTTATATAGTATATAAGTATATCTATCATATTATCGATCTAAAATGATAATATTCAATACCTTTAACGTATCTAGATAAGTCAAAAGATCTGATACATTGGAATAAAATATCGTTCAGATAAATAGATCGATTAGGTGTAAAATATCGATATAATATACTACCAATTGGCAAGCCTATCATTTTCTATTGCGAAATTTTCTTATTAATCTATAATATATAATAATAATATACTGACATATATACAAAATGACGTCACAATTAGAAACGAATTCCCGGGCCTAGGCCGATCTGTGTGAGGAGTTTCTACGTCGTGAAACGAAGTCGGACGTGTAAAGTAAAAGTCAAGGAACGGTTCTATTGTTGGAGATCGCTCGAGATCTTTCAACGTTGAGAGAGTACGCGCGACCCAGAGAGAATTCGGAGCGAGTGCGAGCCGGCTCTTGTTGCGTTCCGTTAGCTGCGCGAGTGCGCGAATATACATACACACACGCATACATATATATACATATCTATATATGAGGTGAGCCAGCCAGTCGTATATACATACATACATACATACATACGTACAGTCGGTGGATGGAACAGGTTTTGAGAGAGGCTTTCGCTCCTCTCGCAGAAAAGGTGCCCTCAATGGTCTCACCGCCATCCTTTTCGATCTTTGCCACTTCTTCTATTCATTCACCGTTTTCACTCGACGTTTTATGATCGACGATGATCACCAAGATATCTTCGTCCTTGTGATAAATTTATCAAAAGCAATGTTACGCGTGGTATAACTTAGTTCTGGTCCTACTCTAATGTTTCTTATTAATATTTGATTTCTTTTGCTGGTATATGTTTGGTTAGATTAATGTTGGCATGATCTATTAGAAATAGCTTGGCTATGTTGATGGTGAAGAACTGACATCATTAATTTTTTTTACCTACGTTAAGAATTTGCTTATTTTGAGAATAAATAGTTATTATTATATCTTGTATTTTTATTGTACTTATAATAAATCCGACAAAGGAAATATTAGGTATATATTATTTAAGATTAACATTACTTTTATAAGTGTTACATTAAATAAGTATTAACATGAATTATTACAGATTTTTATGTTATGTTGATAATATAAAGAATTGATATACATATAATTACGATAAATTCGATAAAATGAATATTTATTATTCATTATAATATAATATTACATTCTTTTTACATAAATATTATCGTCGATAATTATTAAATGTATTTATACTATATGTTAATGGTAAAAAAGACTTATGCAATTAATAATTAATTGGCATTAATAATAACAAAATTATATATCGACAAAATGAATATATTTGTTGTATTTATCATATAATATTACATTCTTTTTATAGACATAATGATTATATTACATAAATATTCTTGTCAAATAATAATCTGTCGTCGATAATGTATCTACGTTTACGGTAAAAAAAAAAAAGACTTATGTAATCGATCATTAATTTTGTATGAAAAGTTTACTATGTCTCATACATAAGTAAAAATCTTATTTTCACCGTTTGGCGAATATACTTTGTAAAGAGATCCTGCGGATCGATTTAAGGTTCAATAGCGAACTGGTGGAATGCGGTCTCTCGAGTTCGGCGCGCGTGGAACGAGCCGGTCGCTCGTACTTCTTCTTCTTCTTCTTCTTCTTCTTCTTCTACTTCTTCTTCTTCTTCTTCTTCTTCTTCTTCTTCTTCTTCTTCTTCTTCTTCTTCTTCTTCTTCTTCTTCTTCTTCTTCTTCTTTATATACCTTTATCGGCAGAAGTTAAGAGTAACAGACTTATAGGTGACTATGTATAAAGGGTCGAAATTGAACGTAAAGAAAATAAGAATAGTTTTGTTTTTGGGGGCTCGCGTTTGAGTTCATTCGCACGAAATCGTTTTCGTACTTTATTCTAGTCACAAAAGCTATGAAAAAGTATAAAGATCGAAGCGGAACGAAGGTTGAAGACCGCTTTAGAACGTCGGAAACCTGTTCAAAGATCGAAGACACGGCCGTTCCGGCTACATCTGGCGGCCGGATCGGAACGTTGAAAACCTGTTCCACACCGAGCTATGTCGTGTGTACGTAATGGAATGTTGAGTGTAAAGTCGAAATTCTCGTAATCGGAAACGTTCTTGGATTCTCGTTTATCCGTCTTAGTGATGCGCATCGAACTTGAACGGACGGAAGAGAAGGAAAGCTCTTCTTACCCTTTTTCTTCTTCTTCTTCTTCTTTTCTCATACGTTTATGTCTTTTGTTTTTTTGTACTTTCGGAAACATTCGATATAATGTTTTGATCCAAACGGAACAATATAATGTCGGAAATTAGTATTTCTTTTTCTTATTTTTTATAACCAATTAATATTTATATTATTGGATATTATATATATGGAGGAGGTACAATCGGAAAGAGGGGGTGAATCTATGTGAAAAGATTAGTTGAAAATTTTGAATGACATTTTTTTCGTACAAAGCTTCGTTTCCAAATATAAATCGTTGTTCTTTTTTTTTTTTTAATTTTCAGTATAGTTTATTCATATTAACCTAATATCTAAAGTTTTTAGCATAGCTGTCGTTTAGCATAGGTGATATTTTAATAATGATAGAAATAGGTCTTTACTCTATTCGTATCTTGAGGCTATCGTCGCAAGATTGATTGAGTGGAAAGATTTGACTGATGATTTATGATTCTATATACTGTCTTAGATAGATAAAAATATTTGTAATTGAAATAGAGAGAGAGTGATATTTAATACGTGCTTTTTATTTACAAAAATCAAAATTATGTACATAAGATCGAGTAGACCAAATCAATATCAGAAAACTCTATCCTTTGTACTGATGCGAGGGTTTATTTATTTATGCGCAGTCACTTATAAGATTCCGAGCTGTACGGTTCAAATTCTTCTACATTAATATTTTTCCAAAAATATTATTCCTTTGTATTCAATCTTGAATTTGAATATTAAACTATAAAACAGAGGTTGAAGTGATTCTGGAAATAACTATTTCAAATTGTTATATATCGGTCCTGAGTGAAACAGTTACAAGCACCAAAAAAAGGTTTATAACTTTATGGTTATAATGGTTCTCGTCCATATCAATTTTGTTGTCGGTTATTTAAAACCTATATTATAATAGAAAAATATTTTGGTTTTCTTAACTATATATTAAAAACCTAAATCAATATAATAACTATTTTCAACCCCTGTTATGAATATAATTAAGTGAATATCGGCAAATGCAGAAACCAAAGTAAAACTGGAGAAGACAAATACGAATCAGAGAGAGAGAGAGAGAGAGAGAGAGAGAGAGAGAGAGAGAGAGAGAGAGAGAGATAGTTTCCATCAATAATAATAATAATAATAATAATAATAATAATAATCTTGATATTTTCATTAAAATGAAGCTGTTTCTTTTATCTGTTTTTTTATTGATTTCGATTTCATTTATTTGGTTGATTTTTATCATCACCATTTCAGGTTTTTGAAAACTCGTAACTATATCGGATGTCTCGGTTAATTAGGCGATTTATCGAAACGACTTTAACTCACTCATTCGCTCTCTTACACGTCGAAGGCGCACGCGCGTGACCTAATTAATAAAATTTACGCGGTAAGTAGCGAGGAGAAAACGAGATAGTAGTAATGTATATATACCTTTACATCCTCCTATCCATAATATTTTCTACCCTCCGTCATTATCTTTTCAATTACGATAATCTAGACTGGATGTTAATCTGCAGGTGTATAAGGATCTGGATATCGTTACTGCCAAGGTGACCAAGGAGGAAAAGCAAATGGCGGTTCATCACATGCTGGACATCGTTGATCCTCTCACTCATTTTTCCGTCATCGATTTCAGGAACATGGCGCTACCAATTGTAATCAATTTATATTATCACATATCTTTCTTATGTTTTTTTTTCCTGTCCTTAGAATAAAACGCAAAGCATTTGATAATTAATTTTTTCTTATTAATCTTTTTAACAACGATCGCTCGTTTGAAAATTTTTGCTTCTTAACTATTCGCTTTTTATCCGCTTGAATGGCATCGTAAATATACAATTCCGAACGAAGCCGACTGATTTTTATTTATTTATTTTTTTTCAGCAATCATTTTATGAAAGACCTTGATATTTTTGTATTAATAAATAGCCATGGTCTTTCTCGATGAAACATATCACAATAAGATATATTCATTTTATTTTTTTTCGATTTTTATTAATAATTATAAATTTTTGATTATAAATAAGCTACTTAAGTTATCGTTTTGAAATAAATTACATCGTTAAAAGTAGACTGGAAATACTAACGATTAATTATGTGTACTATTGTAAAAATGAACTAACACGTTATAATAACACGACAGATGTAGTAAAACTAATCATTAATTCATTGCGTGTATTAATCGGTATATTAATTAATTTTATTTTCTATTTTTTTCCTCGCTTAGAAGGCGCAGTTTTTAATGTTTTTTTCCCATTATTGATTTTTTCGATTACACTTATTAAATTGATTACAAATCAGTGTTTCTTTCGATCTATATAGATGGATAATTTAATATCAAATAAGAAGATCCCGATTGTCGTCGGTGGCACGAATTATTACATAGAGTCACTACTTTGGAAAATACTTATACCCAATGTGAAGGAGAAAAAGGACCAAGAGAGAAATATTTTAAGTGACAATGACAATGATAATGAAGATAGCAATGGCAACACGCAGGCAATGTTGGGAAGAAGCGGAACGAAAGACGAATCTTCGTCTAAAAAGAAGATGAAGATCGACGGGAAGATCGACACGAAGATGAGTACGATAGAGGAGACGAAAGAGGAGATGAGTGAACAGACGAACGAGGTGCTATATCGTAGATTGGTCGAAATTGATCCGGAAATGGCGCAAAGGCTTCATCCTAATAATAGAAGAAAGATTATAAGGTGAGTGACATTTCGGTCTACTTCACGTAACATCGTTTTTATCGATATTTCTTTCGAGTAGGTACGTAGTTCACAGATCGACGTAAATATGGTTAACCAAAATCAGAGCGAAATGTGTTAGTATTGATAATGACAAGAAAAACTTGTAATCTTAATTATCTTTTTTCCAAGGTTTAGAAAAAATATAATAACTTAAAGTAAATGTTTTTTTTTTTTCTATTCGATTTTAACTTCATTTCGATAGCCAAGATTATGTATTGATTATTTTTTTAATTGCGTCTTTTTTTTTGTTTTTTACGTTAAGTGAAAAAGCCACGAGCGAGAATTTATAATATACTGAGAATTTGTAACATTACTGGATTGATAATATACTGAGGTACTTGAATTTGCATTATTTATATCTCGGTGGTAGTAATGTCTCAGCAAATCGATTTTTTTTTGGAAACTTCATAAATAAATGTACATTTTGTATTGTTCATTATATGGAAATGCAAAGTCTTGTTTTTTTTTTATTCAATTATTAGTTATTCCATTATCATTTTGATTGTTCGTTTTTTCTTTTGAATTATCGAAAATAATTTGTTACGGTAGAATATTATTTTACTTCCATTGTTATTCAAAGTTTGAAGTAATAAGCATTTTTTATTTGTTAATTTATAATATTATTACGACAATTGAAAAAGAATTGATCTATTTATTACGAAATGATGGTATTTAACAAAATAAATCAGGTATTGTCCTTGATATAGAAAAGTAGGGCCTGTGAACTGGTTAATTCCGTGCGCCATTGTCCCACTCATTTGAATAATTAATCGGATGATTTCTATTGTGAAAGAAAACTTGTATCCAATAGAATACTATAAGCTTATATTAACAATATCGGAGTCGTTGCGTTTCTACATACCTTTAAATATTTATGACTTCGAATCGACTGGTAAATCGAGTATGAAAATACTCCAGACGAAATAATAATAATTTGATCCTCAAAATATATTCTTTATATGTGTATGCATGTATTAATAGTTCAATTGGTCATTTTATTTTAAATTGCATGATTTTTTTCGACCAAAATGTATTTTTAAATACTTCAAACAACGAATTTCTTTAGTTTTCTTATCGATCTCAAATCTACTCTAAATTTTTGGAGGATAATGATAACGGAACACGTTAAACAATTGTATCAATCAAACCAGTTAATCTCCAATCAATATAGACAACGCATCTTATCTTTTCATAATATTTTATTGTAGTTTTTATTGAAATCTTTTTTCTTTTTTTTCGTTCGTAAGCTTATCTCGAGATATCTATTATTTGAACGATCAAACTTGTAGACGAATTATTAGCAAATATCGGTTATCTCTCGTTTATAGATTAGTAGATTTTTACGTTAGATCGAGTATAGAGACGTTACTACTATATATAATTATTCTCGTTTGTCGAATAAAAAGATTTTTCATGGACGCGAACCATTCTTTTATTCGATAAACTACTTAGATATGTACTTATTACATGTCTTCGTACATGTTTGGTAAATGAACATAAACGTTATTAAGCAGGCGAAAGTATCTTTCGTGTAATAGTCTCTCGCACGATCACACGTAAGATGCATGCTTCTTGATAATGATCGTGCTTTACGATAACGATCGACCATGGCCGAAGTGTCGAACTTCTCCTTCGTTATACATTCGTAACGGGATAGAAACGAGGTCGATTATTTTATTTTCCTCTTGGGAAACGTACCAATTTTGCGATTCATCTGCAGGCATATTCCGAATTATACGATATAGAACGTGCAGATTAATTGTCGACTGTCGGCAGTCGGTAAATATCGCTTTCTTCGTATCTAAGTATATACAGTTTTCATATTCGATAGACTCTAGATAGACACATAATTGATACATCACGATAATGTTACGTGTTATTATAATAGAAACTTTCTTATTTCCACGAAAAGTTTAGAAAATATATGCATATGTATATATTTCGCAATTATTTCATTCTATTTGTAATTTTTTATTTATATCTACGAAATAGATACTTGCATTGTAGATTTCTATGTTTTAAATTTACATATATATATACTAATTTCGTATTAGAAATTTATTTTTAAAACGAAGAAAAATGTTATAAAGAAAAAGAAGATTAAAACTTTGCTGACAGAAGACTCCGATCACAGTCGTTGAAAGTGAGTGATCGTAATCGAAAGTATTTTTTCATTTTCACTAAATTGACATATAAGCAATAAAATGTAATAGTCAATCTTTACAAGAGACAACATTGGATAACAGAATATTACCTCTCTCTGACATTTTTTCTATCGTACGAAATAAGCGATATATTTAAGGTGGGGTCTAGTTACGTGAAAGATTCTGTATAAAACATTATATATTTATTATATATCTATGTTAAAAAAATTTTGTTTTTGTTTTTGTTTTTGTTTTCGTTATAACGATACGTATTTAAAATATTACCGTGCGAATGTGTATAAGCTTTCTTTTAAATTGAAAGATAAATAAGAGAGCAAATGAAAGAGTAACTCTCCCGAATTTGATCGATGAAAGTTTTTAAGTAAAATCGATCGTGATGCTCGACGCTGACCAATTAGGCCGTTGAGAAGAAGCCGGTCGTTGCATTTCGACGTGGGCCACGCGCTTTCACAATACGATTTTGTGGTTTCCTTTCGCAGCTGACTCCAAGTTATATATATTCACGTGTACCGAAGGTAGTAGAAGCTTTTTATTCTTGTCTTGGATAATAGAAAAGATGTCGACCGAGTCGAAGAATAGTCAATAGTCGACTAAACTTAGGATAGGTCATGAAAAAGATCCTTCCGTGTAAATGAAAAACCGAAAGGACTAGTCAGCCAGCTGCGAAAACCTTTTCTTCTTTTATTAGTATTTCCTTCTTCTTTCTTATTTCTATATATGTATATATATATATATANGATTACCTTAAAAAACGGGGACGTTTCCGTGAAACCCAAATTTTCTCTCTTACCTAATTATAGTTGTATGTATTATATATATATACGTACATACACATATACATACATACTTCTGTTCGACAGATGTACCAAAGCTTCGTTTCTTTTCTATATATTATGAAAAATGTGCGCCATTACAGTTGCTTCTAATTTTAACTTCACTTCGATCATTGTCCACACAAGAAAATGTAACAATTTTCCGAGAACTTTTTTTCGGGAATATTTTCTTCTCTTTTTTTCTATTCTTCGCAAGATGAATCTGTTTTTTTTTTTTCACGACACATTGTGATTTTTGTAAATTCTAGAATAGAACGCTTGAAATGTTTGGTGATATTTTGAAATATTATTTTTTTTTTTTATAGCCGCAAAGATACAAGTTATGATAAATGATTACGTTTTAAAAGGATCGGACAGTTTAGACTATATTATATAATAGAAGAGAGTAAAAAAATGTGTGGATAAATGTTTCTTTTCAGACGGTCTACCACGAAATGGTGCAATGTCGTGCATAGTATTCGCGTGAGTACGCGATTAATATACTTTTCTGCGCTTTTTCCGTCCTAGATATGTAACAAATAATTTATTATCAAGAGTCAATGGTTTGCATAAATACCATTCTTATATTATAAAAAGTTTAGAGAAATCAACGAATGTTTCTTTTTTTTTTTTATATTATACATATTTTGCCGCATATTTCAACCATTTGTGCTTTACGAACTTTTATCTTATATATTACTCGATTAATAATTCCATGCGGTTTCGACTGTTTATTTGCTTAGGTCTACCTCGTAATTCTTGACTGATACAAAAAAAACAAAAAAGGATTAAATTATTGTATATTTTTGAATCAAGAAAGGCAGAAAAAAATCGTGAAATAAAAAATTTTGGCGGATTTAAAAAAAATAAACACTCTAAGGTGCTGTATAACAATTATATAAATTATATAAATTAAATAAAATTTGACCAAATTTTTGAGTTCACTTAGATGAGAATTTAATACTGAAGAACAACAAATTTGATTCAATTAAATAAGTTGTTTAGTTTTTTTTATTATCACGTCTGCTAATTTAGAAAAATCGTGGAAATGAAAACTGGAGAAAACGCGCTTCAAAGTTTTCAATAGAGGGCACATCTGCTCGACGCTCGTCTGCTTTTGGCTTTATATTCTTGGAAATATTTAGAATTGGCCTCTGTCATTTTGTAAACATATTCTTAGACAGTTTATCTGTCGATTTAAGCAATAGAAAAAACAATTTTTTTAACATTTTAATTCAGAACACTTCCTTTTAAGCCAATTATATAATTAATATACGTCAAACTTCGAGTCAAAAGTATTTCTACGTGGCATATTGAACGATAAATTCTAACTATAGCGAATTATTTTTAAACATATCAAATGGTGATAGATTTATATAGATATATGACGAATTAAATACGTAAAATGCGAATAAAATAGCCGCTATCGAATATAATATTATAATAAATTTTTCTTGAAACGAATAAAGTCTCGAATCTTATGCACGAGCTCTTTCACCGTTAAGTGTACCTTCTTTTATCGAACGTACATACGTACATATGTATGTACATACAAACTGTATGTACGGAAGGTAATTTCGTTCGTGGTTTGTAAACGAGTGTCGATATACTCAGGAAGAATGAAAAAATACATTACTCGAGTTGCTTTCACCGCGATGGAAACGCACAGTCATAACGTTAGCCTCGCCTCGCCCAGTTCATAAAAAATAATGCGTTAAAAGATGTGCATTATCAACAACAAAACAAAAACTTGGCTGACCGTCAAGATGTAAAAATATTTACAGGCTTTTTCACAAGATGACTTTCAAGATTGATCGAATATATTCAAGCGACTTGATAAATGTAGAATTAATAATAAGAAATGAGTTATTACATTTGTATAAACATTTACAAATTATATGTTACAACTCATTTGGTTCGAAATAAGTATTAATTAGAAAGATTTATACATAAATATCACTGCAAGCAAGCATAAATTGCC